CTGGGCCTCCTCCCATGACAATGATCAGTTCACCCACACCTCAGGCCCTTGGGCTCATCACAGCTGCCAAAAGTATCAAAAGATGGGGCCAAGACTGACAGATGAGACTGGGTTAGTTGACACGGTGTTCTGTCCAGGGCTGGGCACATTAGTTTGCCTAGGACATTGCGACTTGCAGGAAGTTTATACTGTGGGTGGATGTTCTCTGCCACTGATTTCACATCTTAGTCCTCTGTGAAAAGAACCAAGCTTATTACAAAATTCTCCTCCTGAAAAACCCAAGGTATTCCAAAGGTCACCTAATATCAGTTTTTCATGTGAACAACCAGCTTTTATTTATCACAATAATTATTTATTTATGCTTCTATATGAGTATTCCGTTCACTGGTTATTCTAATTATTATTCATTTATTCAAAAATATATACTAAGCACCTACCTGGGCCAGGGACTGTGTTAGACCATTTATATAAACGAGCTTCTTTAATTTTTACAACTCTTAGAGGGAATATCATCTTTATGGCAAAGGGAAGACTTGACATTGAAAGAGACCAAACAATTTAAGGACTTTCAAAGAGATTATGAGACCGTGATGACTTTTTAACTATGGAAGTAAAGGGTCCTCCCTGCCTTTCATTTCACTAGCCATGAACTGGTAGGTCACAGTCTCAACCAGGCTAGTATGTGGCTAGGAGCATGTACTTGAGAGTAGGAGAGCCCCAAGTTTATAAGGCAGTGGTACAAAAAGAATATCAACTTAGAACTATCTGCCTTTCATTGAGCAATGACATGCACCAGGCACTAGGCTGGACACTTAATATGGATGATGAGATCTAATCCTCTTAACAAACACATCAAAGTTTATTCCTGTCTTACAGAAGGGGAAAACTAAGGCTTGGTACAGTTAGGTATCTAGCCTAAGGTACTGAACTACTGAAGTTTAGAACCCAACTACGTATACACATGGTCATTCTGGCTAGAGAATTGGAACTCTTATCTGTGAAGCTATGCTCAACAGCTTTGAGCAAAGGACCCGACCTTGGCATAGTTCTGCTTCTTCAAGGTCCTGTGAGAGTAATAAAAACAGCCTCCTGAGTGTCTTGTGGTGATTAAACGAAATAATACTAACTGCCTTAGAATTGATTTAGAATGAGTTAACTAATCAAGTGTGGAGACAGCTCAGAAACCTGAGTCAAACACGCACTGGAACTGGCAACTCTAAGTGCGCCCATGGAGGGACCACACACATTGCACTAGGGAGAAGGGAGCTCTGTCCAGGCTATTTATTTCTGTGTAGCCCAGCAGAAGAAGGCAGGGTACAAATGGTAAGAATCACCAAGCCAAACGCAAAACTTTGCCAATGAAAACACAAAATGTGGAAGCTACTTCTTTAGGAGTACAAATTTAAGCCTCAATATTAGAAGAAGAAGAAGGCTCTTTGAGCTAAAGTGGTATGTTCTACAATACTGAAGTGATGCTTTGGCTTCAGACAGTGAAACAGAAAAGTATATTCAAAGTACGTTCTACCACGTGGGGGTAAGACAAAATAGAAACTACTTCTACCCTTGCGTTGGGTTTTGTTTGTTTATCCCAAGCAAGAATTTACGGTGGCTTTCAAAACTTCCTAAAATACAGAAAATTAACATAAATTACTAACAGGTAAAGAATAAAAATTTTAAGAAGAAAGAATAGAAGATGGCTAGCAGAGCAGGCTGATATAAAAACATATCCCATCCTACCACTTGGAGAGGCCAAAGCAGGTGGATTGCTTGAGCTCAGGAGTTCAAGACAAGCCTCAAGAAGAGCAAGACGCTGTCTCTATTAAAAATAGAAAAAACTAGCTAGGTGTTGTGGCAGCACCTGTAGTCCCAGCTACTTGGGAGGCTGAGGAAAGAGGATCACTTGAGCCTAAGAGTTTGACATTGCTGTGAGTTGTGATGCCACC